AAAGTTCCTTAGGTCAGCATCCTTTCCTCCACCCCTTCAGTGAGGTTGTTTTATATCTTGGTAATACAGACTAGATTGCTTGTCACATTTGCATTCTATCGGATCCCCTGATATCCTCAATGATTTTTTTAAAATTGGATGTATTAAATTCACTCTATGTGTTGTAAAGTTACTATAGGACTTGATGAATACATAGTATCATGTATCCACCATATTTCTATCACACAGAATAGTTTTATCATACTAAAAAAAATCCCCTGTTCTTGCTTTACCTATTCAACCCTCCAACCCTAACTTCTTCCCCCCAACCTCTGGGAACTCCTGATCTTACTGTCTCTATAGTTTTGCCTTTTCAAGAATGTTACATTATTACATTATTCTCTACGTTTTATTCCTGTGTCTTTATGGCTTGATTTCCCATTTGATTGCTACTTAAATTTATAATGTATTTCATTATATATGTGTGTGTGAGAATTTGTTTATTCATTCACCCATTAAAGAATATCTTGGTTGCTTCCAGGTTTTGTTAATTATGAGTAAAGTTGTAAATTTACACATGCAGATTTTTGTTTCGACCTTCACTTGGGTAAATAGCTAGGAATATAACTGCAGGATCTGATAGTAGGACTATGTTTTGCTTTTAAGAAACTGCCAAACTGTTTTCCAAAGTGGCTGTTCCGTTTTGCATTCCCAGTAATAATGAGTGGAAGTTCCTGTTGATCTGCATACTCACCAGCATTTGGTGTTGTCAGTGTTTTGGAGTATGTAGTGGTATCATTGTTGTTTGAATTTGCAATTTCCTAATGATATATGATGTGGAACATCTTTTCATATGCTTATTTGCCATTTCTATATCATCTTTGATGAAGTGTCTTTTGGTCTTTTGCCCATTTCTAAATTGGATTGCTTGTTTTAAAAGTTCTTTGTATATTTTGGGATAACAGTCTTTTACCATAAATGTCTTTTGCAAGTATTTTCTCTCAGTCTAAGCTTGTCTTCTCATTCTCTTGACTGTGTCCTCAGCAGAGCAGAAGCTTTTAATTTTAATGAAGCTCAACTTATCAGGTAATTCTTTCACAGATCATGACCTTGATGTTGTACCTAAAAAGTCATCACCTCAGGGTGCCTGGATGTCTCAGTCAGTAGAGCTTGTGACTCTTGATCTTTGGATTATAGGTTTGAACCTCATGTTGGAGGTAGAGATTACTTTTAAAAATTTTAAAAATCTTAAAAAATAAGTCATCACCTCTTCTAGAAGCTTTATAGCTTTGTATCTTACATTTAGTTCTCATCTTTTCATGAGACATACGTCTAAATAGACTTTTTTTTTTTTTTTTTGCGTATGGACACCCAATTTGTTCTAGCACATTTGTTGTGCTAGAACACAAAATTAGTATCCTTTTTCCATTGTCAATTTCCTTTGCTTCTTTGTCAAGATATCAGTGGACAGTTTTTGTGTGCGTCTATTTCAGGGGTCTATATTCTGTTCCATTGGTCAATCCATTGATTCTTCACCAGTTCTACACCATCTTTTTATTTTTTTGGTGTTTATTTTTGAAAGAGACAGTGGGTGCAGGAGAGGGAGGGGCGGAGAGAGAGAGGAAGATACAGAATCCAAAGCATGCTGTCAGCATCAGCACAGAGCCTGATGCAGGGCTTGAACCCATGAATCACGAGATCATGACCTAAGCCAAAGGCAGACACTTAAGCAACTGAGCCACCCAGGTGCCCCAACACCATCTTGATTACTGTAGCTTTATAGTGAATCTTGAAATTAGGTAGTGTCAGTCTTCTAACTTTGTTCTTTTACAGTAGTTTGTTGCTTATTCTTGGTCTTTTGTCTCTCCATACAAGCTTTAGAATCAGTTTATCAACATCCACAAAATAACTTCCTGGGCTTTTGAATGGGGTCATTTGAATCTCTAGATCACATTGATATCAGTGTCACCATGACATCTTAACAATATTGAACCTTCCAGTCCATGGATAGAGAATATTTCTCCATTTATTTAGATCTTCCTTGATTTCTTTTATCAGAATTTTAGAGTTTTCTACATATAGATCCTATACTTTTTTTTTTTAAAGTAGGCTCCACACCCAATGTGGGGCTTGAACTCATGATCCTGAGATCATGAGTTGCATGCTCCACCAACTGAGCCAGCCAGGAGCTCCAATTCCATACATATTTTGTTTAGTTTACTGTTCACATTGTTTTATCTCTCAGACTTTTGGAATTCTTTGAAGCCTTTTTTAAAGTTGTTTTTTTTTTTTTTTGAGAGAGAGAAAGTGAGTTGGGGAGGAGCAGAGAGAGAGGGAGACAGAGAATCTGAAACAGGTTCCAGACTTTGAGCTGTCAGCACAGAACCTGACCTAGGACTGAAACCCACGAGATCATGACCTGAGCTGAAGTTGGATGTTCGATCCACTGAGTCACCCAGGCACCCCTGAAGTACATTCTTAAAGAGCTACCATTTCCTTCTGCCACATGCTGAGACGGTTTTCCAAGCCCATTTCTTTTTTTAAAAAATTATTTTATTTTATTTATTTGTGTGTGTGTGTGAGAGAGAGAGAGAGAGAGAGAGAGAGAACGTGAGCAGGGGAGGGTCAGAGAGAGAGGGAGACACAGAATCTGAAGCAGGCTCCAAGCTCTGAGCTAGCTGTCAGCACAGATCCTGATGCGGGGCTCAAACCCAGGAACCGAGCCGAAGTCGAACGCTTAACTGACTGAGCCACCCAGGAACCCCCCCTTTTTTTTTAATTAAAAAAATTTTTTTTTCCAAGCCCATTTCTTGTAAAATGGGAGTGTAATACTGTACTCCTAAGTTTCTCATCAGGGCCAAAAGAGAATGTTTGTGAACTGCTTAGCACAGTGGTAGGCATATGATTTGAGCTTATTCAATTTTAGTGTTTTTTAATGGCTAACTATCAAAATCCAGGAAAGAGTGCTACAGGGAAGAGTTAAATGTCCACTTTAGCAAGTTTCCTGTCTCCAAAGGTCTGGATTTCAGCTTTTTAAGAGAAAACAGTCTTGCACATGACACAAGACTGTTAGACTATCTTAACCCATGCAATGCTGGGCAACATCAGACAATCTGAGTAATCCTGTCTAATAGCCTTTCCTTCTTTTCTCCTAAACCCCCCTGCATCCTCAAAGACTGGATGTACTGACCAGGACCCCTGGAGGGAACACACAGGATCCCTGCGGGCAGGTCCCAAGAAAACTTCTTAGACAGATCCTTGGGACTGTTTTGAATCTGTAGGCTCCTCTATGGAGCAGAGCAACTGTGGGAGTCTGACCACACAAACGGGGAGGTTATCGAAATATTTGGCAAAAGGTTGAGGTTAAGCGAAATGTAACCCAAGCAGTGTTTCGATAGACTCAATGCACTGTGGGGCTGCGTGAGAAGGGTCAACTTCACCCCTGGACAGCAACGTGGACCCAGAGTCCTGTTTCCTTGGAAATGACAAAGATAGGTATGTAATGTTTCATCCAGAAAGTCCTGACCTGCTGTGTCAAACTGACTTAGCTCCTCCAGGCATGTTTCTTTTTTACAATTATGATTTCAAACAGCAAATTTATGATTTTAGGGGGAAAACAAAGAAACCTGAGTGAACAAGTAATAGTCACTCAAAGAACATGATTATTGGGACACTTTACAGCTGTAACATGACCTTGTAATGTTTCCTGTTAATGTTGCAGCTGACTTTATCAGTACCTGTCCTGGTGCATGGACAGGGCAGACTTTCACTTGTTCATTCCAAGCCAACTTTTATTTTCTCGGTGTAGACCTGTAAACAGAAATCCTGAACCAAGCACTTTAGTTATCTTTCTTTTTTACTTTTCCTAATGGTATTACCTAAAACTCCCCAGCTTTTCCCCCAGTCATTCTGTTTCTGATAGCTATGGTAAATGTTCCTCCTTCCTTATTGGTCACCACAGTACTTTTGAGTCTGTGGGAATCAGAGGTGACCCTCCTAAAGGAAGCAGTTTCTCACCAGAGGCTGGGCAGTGGGGGCGCCCCTCCATCATGGTCACCTCCTCCAGGCTGCCCTCCTGGAAGTGGCAGGAATCAGAATCACCACCACCCACCACAGGCAGAGGGTTGGGGGGCCAGTGCAGTCCTGTCCCAGATCAAGGCAGCTCCCTTGCACACAAATTGCTGAGGGTCCCCTGGAGGTCTGAACCTGAGAATCTGCAGAAGTTGGGCCTCCAGCTGGCCTCGCTCCTTCCCCAGAACCTCACTCCGATGGGCCATACCCAGCCATCTTACAGCAGACAATCTAATTTTAATTTGTGAAGTGATTCTGTAAACAGATACATATACCTGTATTTATCAATGTCAAGGGCTTGAATTGTGATAAGTCAGGCACAAAGCTAGATTATCTTGAAAAGATAAACCCTGGCAATTAGCCATAATATGACTACACAGAAATCTCATTAGAGGAAATGATTATAGGTGTTTTAAAATCTTAACATTTTCACAAATTGAGCTGGAAGGGAGCTTAGTTAGAATGATCTTGTCCAACCCTCTCATCTCACACAGAAGAAACTATTTCAAACTCAGAGAGGTTAAGTGACCTGGCCAAGGCCACACAACACCGCCAGGGTTAACTCTTGGACAGTGAATCTCCTGTGAGGTTAGGCAGATGAGGAATCCTTTGTTCTCTCTTCTACTCTCTTCTACTTACAGACTTTTTTTTTAAAGGTTACTTCCCTAGACCTAACAAGTAGCCTGCTACTCAGAGCTTTGTGTCTCAAGCGATTAAATCCTGTTCCTTATTTCATTTTGTCTTCAGGAGGCCTCCAGCTTTCTGGTTGGTTGAGAAAACTGGCCCACATCTAGCCCCTCCCACCCTCAACTCTGGGCGGGCCGGCAGAGGACAGCTGACGCCAGCAGTCGCTCATGTGACCACTATAGCTTTCTGTTTGCTCCCTGTCCCAGAACTGGGTGGGCACTTCCAGGTCTCCTTCTGTTGGGAGGGCACCAGGTAGGCACCCTAGGCCTTCTTGTCCACTGCTGGAACAGTGAGAGGGATACCACACAGGCGCAGTTGGACAGACTTGGGCAGCTCAGATGTCAGGCCTTCTGTGCTTGCCCAGGGCTCTTTAGGCAGCAGGACAGAATGTAACTGGCCTCAAGATGTCTCACACCATTCCTACTTGCCCTCCCCCTCCCCAGGCTCCCTACCTCTAGGAGGCTGCTCTGCCCTTCCTTCCTCTGTTCTTTGGCCTTCCTTTTCCCTTAGCTACAGATATTGTCCTCTTTCTCTATGCTGACTTAGCAGCTTACTGCCTGGTGTGGAGGGATTAATCAGTGACAGGAAGCTGCCTCTTCTAGAGCCGTGATCAGCTGTGGTTAGGAAAGCCTCTACAAGACCAGCCCTAGGAGTCTGTCCAGCTTCCCGCCTGCTGCCCACCCACCTGCTCCTGCCATGGGGCACCTTGGGGCCCTCCTCTTCCTGCTGGGGGGCCTGGGGGCTCTCGCTGATATCTGTGGTAAGTAACCAGATCTACCCTGTGCCTCTTTCCTCCAGGGTCCTTAGGAGGGAGGACTGTTTCGTCTGAGCCCCTCATTTATATAATAGCTGGGGAAACAGGCTTGGGTGTGTGGGAGAGTGTGATTTATCAGCCCCTTTGGGCTTCCACAGCAGTTGGAACTTAGCTGGACCTCAGTGTTTGACATACTATATTGAGATTACAGTTGACCCTTGAAAAATGTGGATTAGGGCTGCCAACCTTCCATGCAGCCAAAAATCCGTATTATAACTTTTGACTCCCCTAAAACTTAACTACTGATAGCCTACTGTTGACTGGAAGGAAACCTTACCAATAAGATAGTCAATTAACACATATTTTGTATGTTATATGTATTATATACTGTATTCTTATGATAAGGTAAGTTAGAAAAAAGAAAATGTTATTAAGAAAATCACAAGGAGGGGTGCCTGGGTGGTTCAGTCGGTTAAGCCGTTCGACTTTGGCCTAGCTCATGATCTCATCATTCCCGAGTTCAAGCCCTACATCAGGCTCTGTGTTGACACCTCAGAGCTGGGAGCCTGCTTCTAATTCTGTCTCCCTCTCTCTCTGCCCCTCCCCTGCTCATGCTCTGTCTCTTTCTCAAAAATAAATAAACGTTAAAAAAAAAAGAAAATCACAAGGAAAAGAAAATACATTTATTTTTTTAAGTTTATTTATGTATTTTGAGACAGAGAAAGAGTGTGAACAGGGGATGGGCAGAGAGAGGGAATGAGAGAGAATCCCAAGAAGGCTCTGCACTGTCAGCACAGAGCCAGATGTGGGGCTCAAACTCACAAACCATGATGTCATGACTTGAACTAAAACCAAGAGTCGGGCACTTAACTGACTGAGCCACCCAGGCACCCAGAAAATACATTTAAAGTACTGTACTGTATTAAGAAAAATTCACATGTAAGTGGACACATGTGGTTCAAATGCATATTGTTTAAGGGTCAACTATCTGATAGCCCACCGTACAAAAATCCTTCTCTTTATTCACTCATTTGTTTATTTACTCATTCAGCACACTTTTAGTTCAGTGTTAGGCTTTGGGGAAAGAACAAAGAGAGACAGGTCCCATCCTTGTCTTCCTAGTGCATCTGTTCTAGTAAAGGGGACAGACAAAAGAAGTCAAGAGACAAAATGATGCTGTGTTTGGGAGCCGTGGTGAGCACCAAAGACAGCAAACCGGACATGGAGGTGGAGAGCTGGGGGCCACTGAGTCAGGGAGAACGTTCAGGGAAGGATTTCCAAGGAGCAGGGGTGACAGGGCAATTGAGACCCAGAGGAGAAAAAGGAGCTGGCAAGAAAAGGAGTGTGTTGGGAGGGGAGGGGGGAAGGGTGGAGCAGGCATCCCAGGCAGACGGAAGCTAGTATGCGGGCACCCTTACAGGAGACAAGTCCGAGAGGCACAGGTTGCAGGTCATGGCAAGGCATTTGCATTCTATTGCACAAGCAGGAGCCTGGCTGTTTCAGCTCTGTGTGCCAGTGTCCCCAGGAGCCTCTTGGGACCCCTTGGGAGTTGGGCACACAAGCCTTGGGCTATTTGTGCACTGGCAATGGGCAGAAAGCAGAAGTCAGGCAAGGAAAGCTCTGTGTTCTGGGGCTACCTGTCTCTCCTCCCTCTTTGTATTCTGCCCATATTGCCCACTGTGCAATATGCTTTCACTCCCAAGATCTCTTATGATCTTTGGAGAAATCGAGAGGCGGGTTCAGGTTACAGATGAATCAGTCGGGGATTGGAGGAGCCGGGTGACCTGTTGGGGCTTTGCTGGGTTCAGTCCTCAGAATGCCAGGCCAGGGTCTTTCCTGGGCACCAGGAGCCTACAACAGGTGTTCCATAAGTGCAACCAGACCCCTCACCCTTGGATCTTAGTTTCTGTCCAAATGGTCCCCAGGGGAGACCTGAGCCCAGTCCTCATCCTCACTGGGCCTGGACCATTCAATAGTTGACCCATAGTCTCTCAACAGAAGTCCTGGATGGGGATTGGGGGTGAAGCCCACTACTGCTGAGCCACTTACCTGCCCGACTCTCATTCCTTCACCTGCAATATGGGCTAAGAATGCTTCCTGGCCTTCCTCCTTGGTGTGGTGTGAAGGATCCCACAATACTGGCTTTACCAGCTTAAAGCTCTGTGCAGTTGTGAAATTGACAAGGATGCTGCACAAGTGCCCAGGGCCACTTTTATTACTGAGGTGAATCCTGTGCTTCTGAATGTCAAAGCCAGTCAACTGGCAGAGCTGGGTGGCCTTGTAAGCAGGAGGTACCATAGTAGGAGGGAGCTTGCCCAGGGCCACTTTTATTACTGAGGTGAATCTGCCTGGCTTCTTCCTTTTAAGGAGGCTGAATTGTGGTTATCAACTTCTCTTTATAGCTCTGGCTCCTCATTTTATCAGTTATAACCCCAGGGATGACTCACCTGCTGGAAGTCAAAGCCTTTAGTGGGGGCGAGGCTCCCCTACCAGTTTGAAGAAAAGGGAGAGGGAAAGAGAGGTACAGAGAGAGAGATGACCAGAGCGATAGGCTGAAAGAGGTAGAGACTAAGATCCAGAGAGAGTGGGGGAAATACCCACAGAAATGGAGGCAGACACGGAAAGGCATGGAGAATGAGAAAGGGAAAGAAAAGCCACCCTTACCCCTTACCCCCGCCACCTCCACAGGTAGCAACAGATACCTGTGACTTTTGGGAAAGGAGGCATAAGATGGTGGGACCCGTGGGGCATCTGGCTGGCTCAGTCTGTAGAGCATGGGACTCTTGATCTCAGGGTCATGAGTTCCAGCCCTACACTGAGAGTAGAGATTACTTAAAAAGAAAAAAAAGGTTGGTGGGACCCAAACCAAAAAAGATGGGCCTGTATGAGAGGAACCCTGTCCTTGTGCCAGAAGGCCTAAGAGGCAGGTGAAGAACTCTGGGTGGCAATTCCTTTCCTCAGTCCCCTGGGAGCAGCGGCCTGCCCAGCATCCTGGGATGCGGCCCAGTGGAAGCAGCTGGAGCCCTACAGTGACTGGGAGGCTCTGTAAGTGGGGAAAAGTCCAAAGTGCCTCCAGGGCCACCTACTGAGCTCAGGTTTTCTTCCCTAAGGGAGGAAGGCAGCAGTCAGCTGGAGCTGGGACATATCCCTGAGGCTTCCCTGGGTATGTCAGCATTTTGGTTACACAGTTTCAGGCAAATGCCAAAGCACACCGAGAAGTGATTGTAAACAATGATGGCTTTCCAAGGATTCACCCCTAAATCCCAGGTTCCCTTCACCTAAATAGATGTGGTGGGAAAAGTATTATTTTGAGATCTATGAAGAGGAAGCTCACCAGGCGGCCCCAGTTAGTCATGGGCAGCCTGCAGTTTTAAAATTGGGTATGTAACATGTTCTGCATGTGGGCTGCAATTTTTGTAAATGGATAGAACATACATTTAGCTGAGCACCAAAGACAGGGTTTTGCAGGCAGGTTTATCCTTGGCTGTGCAGCCTTCTGTAAGACACAGCATGACTTTGAATGGCTATTTCCTCTTTTGTGCAAAGCAGTGATGACAGTACTTATGCCACAGGGCTGGCATGAGGACCAAGTGAGGTCAGGCACAGTGGCTGGGGCATATCATGCGGCTTAGCCTCCACTCTCTAGTACTCCTTGATGGCAGAGAGGTTGCCTGGTACCAGCTTCCTCTGCCCTCAGCTCAACACCTCTCCCTGGCCCACTCCAACTGCTCTTTTGGAAAACCTGTTTTCCCCTGTTTACGTACTGCCTTTTATTACAGCCATATTTCCCCATACAAGTAGGGTGTGTGCTGGATGGAAGGGGAGTAGAGATGTTTATTCCCGGGAAAAGGCCCTGGTAAGGTAAAAGCAATCCCTTGCTAGTGGCCTGACCTTGAAGCCTCACTTGACCTGTTCTCTTTCCTAAGAAATACCACAGGTGGATAGCAAGCTGCAGGAGAGGCTGGGCCAGCGCCTCTTGCCCTGGATGGACTGGTTCTCCCTGGAGCACCTGAACCCCAGTATCTATGTGGGTCTGCGCCTCTCCAACCTGCAGGCTGGGGCCAGGGAGACCTTATATCTGTACATCCTCAAGATCAATTACCAGCACAGCCTCCTAGGGTATTGCTATTCACTTTCTTCTCCTTTCCCCATACTTTGCTCCTAAGAGACAGGAGAACTATGTTCTGGTTTGGGCTGCCACTAGTTTTTTGGGAGATTTGGGGCAAGTTTCTCTCCTTTGGCACTTTCACCATCTGTAGAATGGGGTTGGCTTGACCAGATTGGAGGTAGACATCACTAATCAATGACCACAGTTCTGTCCCTGCCCCCATACTGAGCCCAGAAGCAGCATCTGTCTGTGCTTCCCTCGCATGCTGAGGCAGACATCACTAGTCCGTAACTGTACTCTTCGATACTGAGCCCAGAAGCAGCATATAGCAGCATTTAATTCTGTGCTCCCTTTTCTAGGGGCATTAAGGAAGGCCTGTTCTAAGGCTCACTGTGGGAGTTTGAATGAGAAGTGAAGGATCAGGAACACCATGAAGCCTGTCCTTCTTGGACTCCTTCTCAAAAATTGGACAAAGGGCACGGAGAGGGAAGAAAGGGAAGACCGTGTAGGCAAAGTATGATCAAAATGATGGGGCAAGCACAGGTCATTTGGATGTAAGAGCCCTCAGGGTTTGTCCTTGAGTCTAATTTTTCATCTTTATGAAATATGTGTGGCATGCACCTTAGAACTTGCACAGCTGATTACATCTGCTTTTGGCAGTTCTAGCAAAGTTTCTTATTGTTAGAATTTTTTTCACTTTATGATGTTGAGAGGGGTGCCCCAAGCCAGGCTTGCCGGGGTGGCAATTTCTTACAGAAGTGTTGTTAACTGGCTTTTTCCTAGGCTTACCTTCAGCGATGACAACAGTGACTCCCAGGACAAGCCCTCCATTGGCCAGCTGCCCCTGTACCTGCTAGCTCTCAGAGCTAACTGTGAGCTTGTTGAGGGCCGCAAGGGGGACAGCCTGGTCACACAGCTGAAACGGTTCCTGGAGGACGAGAAGAAGGCCATTGGTGAGGGGGATGGAGTCTGCCAAGTGTGGGGGTGGGGCTCATCAGATCATATTCTGTGGGGAAGCATCTAAGTCAGAACTTCGGGTTTTCTCCTCAGGCTTCTTTCCTATCCCCCATTCTACCTGTCTCACTATCCACCTAGAGGCTTGAGCCTGCTTCAGTAGCCATCCTTGATCAAGCCTTTCCTGTACCCCATATATACTCTGTTGGCAAGTTCTACTGCTCAGCCACCACAATTGACCTGTCTACGTCTGGACAACTGCATGGCTCATGTACTACTTACTCCTCAGCCTCTCTCTGCTAACTGCCTTGCCTCCCGACTTGACCCAGCACCTGACAGCCACAGCAAGCATTTTAAATATAAATCTGATCTTGTTAGTCCTGCTCAAACCCTGCACAGGCTGCCCACTGCTGTGTCCACAGCCCCTCAAGCCCAGTCTGTCTGCCCCTTTTCTCCTCTCCAGGACCTGCTCTTCCACTGTCTGGCTCACCCACTCACCTGCCCCTCTGGCTCTGGCCACACTGATCTCTCAGCTTGCAGATCAAGGTCTTCATATATGTTCTTTCTATACAGAAGATTTTCCTCCCCTTCTAGCTTACTCCTGCTCCACTGTAGGCCCCCCCACCCCCGCCCCCGTCCTCTCCAGCATCACTGCCTTAGGCAATCCTGGTCTGACTCCTCAGCTGCTCAAAGACTTCTACTCTATGGCCCCAGAGAGCTCAGTCCACATTTCAGTTCTAATCATGCTGTCATGAGTGCAGGTTGTGTTACTGTTGGAGACCCTGGCTGTGCTGTGCCTGGCTGGGCACCACTGGCTTGGTCATCACTCTGAGCCCATCACCTGACATGTAGTGGATCCTCAGCAAGAATGGGTTGAAGGAATGAAGGATCCTGAGACCCAAAGGAGGGTGTCGGGAAGTGTAGGCAAGGGGGTCCTGTGTGGTGGCTGGGCCAGTCGCTGGGGGTGGGCAGAGAGGCAACCCCTCAGGCCTGGCATGAAGCCCCTGCCCCCATGTTTTTCTCCTTCCCAGGGCACAACAACAAGGGCCGGCCCCGCACCAGCTACTACCAGTATGGCCTGGGTATCCTAGCCCTGTGTGTTCACAAGAAGCGGCTCCATGACAGTGTGGTGGGAAAGCTCCTGTATGCTGTGGAACATGAACAGCATCTCTACCAGGGTCACCTCTCTGTGGGTGAGTGGGGTAGACCCTGCTAAAGCCAGGCTGGCACTCCTCCAGCCCCCAGCCCAACTGAAGGCCTCCACCCACTGGCCCCAAGCTCACCTTTCCTTGGGGCCCCTCCTCATGAGTCCCCTAGGAGAAAAATGATGAGGGCTCTGCTTGTGAGCCAGTGGTGGAGCTGAACTGGGATCGTGACCCCAGCTCTGTCACACCCTTACTGTAGGACACCCTGGGCAAGTCAGCGGGTCTTTCTGGTTCAGCTTCTTCTATAAAACAACCTCCCAGCAGTATCTTGATAGAAGATGCTTTATAAATAAAGGGCCTATATTGGTGCTTGGCACAGAGAAACTTTTTTTTTTTAATTTTTTTTTAATGTTTTATTTATTTCTAGGAGAGAGAGAGAGACAGAGAGTGAGCAGGGGAGGGTCAGAGAGAGAGGGAGTCACAGACTCTGAAACAGGCTCCAGGCTCTGAGCTGGCAGTCAGCACAGAGCCCGATGCGGGGCTCGAACCCACGAACCGCGAGATCATGACCTAAGCAAAAGTCAGACGCTTAACCGACTAAGCCACCCAGGTGCCCCGACACAGAGAAACTTCTGGATACATAGTTATGATCTTGTCATTATATGAATTGGGAAGCCTGAGACCTGGATTCTGGAACTGCTACCTCACTATGTGACCTTGGGCCTCCAATGCCCTTTCTTGTCACCGTGATTCAAGGTCTCTTCTAGTTCTGGCATTCTGTGAATGAGTGAGTGTGCCTCACATAAGGTGGGGGTAGGATGGAGTAAGTTGGGAAGGCAAGGAGGTACCCCCAGAGAGAAGGCAGCAGGGAGCTTGCTCTGCCTGAGGCTTGTAGAAAAACCACTGTGGACACAGTAATCACCTTGGGGCCCAGGCAGCTCCCGGGACCTATTAAATCCACCTGGAGGTGGACCCAACCATCGGGTGTATTCCAGACTTCCCTGATGATTTCAAAGTGCAGGCAGGTTTGGGAATGAGTGGTGTAAGATAAAGGTCTCTTGAGTCTCTCTCCTCCAGGCTCTCTCCCTAACCTCTCTGACCCTTAAACAGTAGACTGGAGTAGGGTGACCGATTGTCCCCATTTGCCTGGAACTAAGGGGCTTCCAGGACACTGGACTTGCAGAGGCCAAACTGGGCAAGTTCTGGGCAAATTAGGCTGAGTTGGTCCCCCTAGCTGGCGAAAATTTTCTAAACTGCTGATCTGACTATGGCCCTTCTTCAAGGCCTCTGATGGTGACCCATTGCCCCAGGGCTCTGCCTGGTCTGAGCCTAATTGGCTGTGTCCCCTGCAGACACACTGGCCATGGCAGGCTTGGCCTTCACCTGTCTAGAACACTCCAACTTCAACCCCAATCGGAAACACCGGATCACCCTGGCCATCAGGAAAGTACGAGAGAAGATCCTGAAGGCCCAGACCCCTGAGGGCCACTTTGGGAATGTCTACAGCACCCCTCTGGCTCTACAGGTAGGAAAGAAAGCTTGGGGCTATAAACCACCCTGGTTTTGGTGGGAGGGGGCCTGGTCAGGGGCTGAAAGACCTGGCTCCTCCATGCTAGCTGACCTACCTCCTCCTTCTCTTCCCCATTCTGTCACCAGTTACTCATGAAGTCCTCCATGCCTGGGGTGGAGCTGGGCAGAGCATGCCTCAAAGCAAGGGCGGCTCTGTTGGCCAGTCTGCAAGATGGGGCCTTCCAGAATGCTCTCGTGATTTCCCAGCTGCTGCCTGTCCTGAATGGCAAGAGCTATGTAGATCTCATCTCCCCAGACTGCAAGGCACCAAGAGGTAGCTGGGCCTTTCACAGAAGCTCTGTTCTTTTCAGTCTGCAGAACGCTCCCTGAACTCTGCATGTCCCAGGGAAGAGAGGTTGCTTAGTCCTGATTGCTGAGTCAACAGGGGTTCTTGGGTGCATGGGGGACACACTGGCAGCTAAGATGCAGTCACAGCATCTAGAAAGCCACAGTGTGAGGAAAGAGATACCAAACAGCTCTAGGTGGGCCATGAACCTGCAGCCTTTTCTGTGATATCCAGCACAAAAATGTTTGAATGGATGAATGGGGAGAGACAAATTTTGGGTAGCTCTGATACATCATAATGAGTTCCAATGAGCAGCTTGAATCAGGCTTCATCTGGGAGAAGGACTTGAGTTGGACAGTGGGCTCTGCCAGGGGAGGAAGAAGGTAGCAAGGGCAGAGCAGAGAGGAGGCAGCAAGAACAAAGCCACTGAGGTGGAAAAAACTGAAATTTGGGGGAAAGGTCTTATAAGAGTGGGGTTTGGGCAAATCAGCTGGGTTTGCAGGCAGGAGAATGAAGAAAGGAGACCCTTGGAGGTAACAGGGGAGTTATATGAACAAATGTACCTTCTAGAAAGAGCCCTCTGGGATGCTGTGTGGGATGCTATGTGGGAAGGGGGATACTGGAGGGAGAAAAACCAGTGAGGGGCCCAACTTTGGGCAGTTGGGGGATTTGGGGGCTAAAGAACAGGGCAGACTGGGGTGGCAGCTGGTGGTAATGGCTGAGATAGGACCATGGGACAGGAAGAGGTTCTGATGGGCGAAGTGTCTTCAAGGGAAGAAAGGAAGACCAACACGTGGCTCCTTGCCCTCACACCAGCTGCCCCTTCCTCTCTCCCTGACATAGTCATGTTGGAACCAGTTGTGGAGACCACTTCACAGACCCAAGAGGTCATCAGTGTCGTGCTGAAGGTCCCCAGTGTCTCGCCACAATACATAAACTCCATCTCTGTCCCTGCTGGGTCCTCCTTGGAAGATGTCCTTAAGAAGGCCCAGAAGTTCAGAGGATTCACGTGAGACCCCTACCTCCCAGCCCTCACCCCCACCTGACCCCACATCCCTGAAACAGAACTTTGATGGGACAAGGTTGGAAGAGAAGGTTCCTTCAGGAGAGGTGCTGGCCCACCTTCTCCACTCCTGAGAGCCCACTCTGCAGTGGAAACAGACAGTGTGGGCCAGCAGTGTTCCATAGCTACGAGAACATTCTCTGGAGGCAGAGTACCCACATTGGAATCCCAGCTCCACCACTCTCCAGCTAGGGGCCCAGAACTAGTTCTTTCCAACAAGCCAGCAAGGAACCAGCTGTGTCCTTCTCCTCACAGGGCCAATGCAAGGAGTCCAGGAATTAGTACAAAGAAGACATGGAACATGCTTATTGTATATGCAGGGTCCCGCACTCAGTAAGCTCAATACAGCTTAGCTTTCTTTAAGAGTTTTTATTATCAGATGGTCTTGATCTGCTCCCTGTGATGAATTACCTACTAAGCCCACCTCAGTTCTCTTCCCGGTAGCCTGCAACCCATACAGCAATACTGCTGGGAGCCAACACAGTCCCAGATGGCCACACACGCTGAGCACCCTGGCAGCTGTGGTCTAGAAGGCATTGAGATTACCCAGAACCTGCTGGCATTCCAATCTGTATAATGTCATCAAAACAAAACAAAACAAAACAAAACAAAAAAATAGACCTTAACGTTTTAGTTAAGAATTCCAAAGCCTCTGAGAAGACATCAGGGATACTAATCAAAGAAGCAATTCTGTTAGTGGAAGTAGGTGCCTGAACTGCATGCAGAGGCCAGGCAGCAAGGCCATGGCTGGCCTACAGAAAGAGAGATCCCGAGAGAAAGAGAGGAGAGAGTGAAAAAAACAGAGAGATGTGCTCCAAGAAGCCACACGGACCCATAGAGTTAGGGGGTGACAAGACAATGGGGACTGCTCCATGACACCCCCTGAAATAACACTTTCCCTTTGACTAAGTCACCTTGGGTGGTTTTCTGTTTTTTAAAACTATACAAACCCTCCCTCTCTAAGACAGAAACATTATAAGCCTCTGGGGAGAGGAAGAACATGACCCATGGGTTTAAGAGGATCCCTTTGGCAGCAGCATCCACATGGTTTGAAGAAACGCAAAGTTGGAGACAAGGAGCTCAGGGTGGGGGTGGCATATGAATAAGGAGTCTCTTTGTTGCAGAGGCCAGAAACCTAACACCAACCCTCTCTGGTAATGGAGAGCATGGGGTGTGTAGAATCATAGTGAAGACTGAGCAGTCCAGCCACAAGAAGAGGGGAGTGCCACTGAGCCATAGAAACTTCCAGAACCAGAGACCCAGTGCCACCATCAGGTGTCTCCGTCTCGCATGTCCCTGCTTCTGTTTGCATGCTGGCTACACCCTCTCTCATTGGGCATTGGCATCTTAAATGTGGTGCTGGCAGCTTCTGAGTCTTACCCCTGCAACATTAGCTTCCCAGAGAGGGGACAGCTGCTGAGTTGATAATGTAATAAGTGTCCCTTCTTGTAGACCATGGCCCTGGTCGATGCAGAGGGAGTGAAGTCCCCTGGGTGGGCAGTGTCAGGGAACTGCAGAGGAGGTGTGGACGTGAGGCCCGTGGCCTGGAAAGGACTCTGGCCCTGAGGGAGAGGCCAGGACTTTCCTGGTGGAGGCAGTTCTGCTCCTGCCATTGGGTCAGTGGAAGCAAAAGTCATTCTTCTCCCTCTTTCTGTCTCTTTGGTAGATATGGAACACAGAACACCTTGTCAGGCCCCTTCCTGACCTCTGTGATGGGAAAAGAAGCTGGGGAACGTGAGTTCTGGCAGCTCCTCCGAGCCCCTGACACCCCACTGCTACAAGGTAGGCCTGGTGGCCAGCCACCTCTGGACATCTTCCCCCAGCCAGCCTTGTTGCAGTGAGGCCAGCTTACCTCAGCTTTCTCCTGAACCTTTCTGGGCCTCCGCCTCAGATAATCATGCTCAAGGTCACTTGTAAGTTATGTAACTGAACACTGAAGAATTTTTATGTAGGTTATTGTGACAACTCTAGGAAATCAGATTGGCAAACAAGAAGAAAGTTAAAATCACCTATAATTTGCTACCTGGAAATAACTTCTTTTTACTATTGGTGTATTTTCTTTTCTTTGTTTTTTGTTTTTAACTGCTGGTGTATTTTCTTCCAGCCAATTTTTAAAATATATAAGTTAATTTTTTCATTAAAAATGGAGCCATACTCTGTAGCAATGCTGTCCAACAGAAGTAAAATTCAAGGCACAGGTGTAATTCTAAATTTTCTAGTTGGTGACACTAATATTAATAATGAATCTTATTTAACCAAATATATCCAAAATATTATCATCCCAAGATATAATCAATGTAAAATTATTAATGACATATTTTGCATGTTTTTTCTGTACCAAGATTTCAGTCTAATGCTCTCCCAACTGAGTTATTTTGGCTCCTCTGTACTAAGATTTCAAATACTTTACAGCTGCATGTGGCTAATGCTAGCATACTGCATGGCACAGCTCTGTATACCATTTCACAACTTATTTTTTTTAATTTAAATTTATGTTCTTTTTTTTAACATTTTATTTATTTATTTTAAAGTAAGCTCTGTGCCTAGTGTGGAACTCAAACTCATGACCCTGAGATCAAGAGTCACGTGCTCTACCAACTGAGCTAGTCAGATGCCCTACAACTTATTTTTTTCACTCTTTTTAAAAAAAATTTTTTTTGGGGGGTGCCTGTGTGGCTCAGTTGGTTAAGCGTCCAACTTCAGCTCAGGTCATGATCTCACGGTTCGTGGGTTCAAGTCCCACATTGGGCTCTGTGCTGACAGCTAGCTCAGAGCCTGGAGCCTGCTTCAGATTCTGTGTCTCCCTCTTGCTCTGACCCTCCCCTGCTCACACTGTCTCTCTCTCTCTCTCTCAGAAATTTTAAAAAATAAATAAATAAATTTAATGTTTACTTTTGAGAGAGCATGAGCAGGGGAGGAACAGAGAGAGAGGGAGACACAGAATCTGAAGCAGGCTTCAGGCTCTGAGCTGCCAGCACAGATCCTGACACGGGGCTCAAACCCATGGTCTGTGAGATCATGACCTGAGCTGAAGTTGGACGCTCAGCTAACTGAGCCACTCAGGCCCCCCTTTTTTCATTTTTAATGTGTTGTTGACATATTACTCTGTTACTGTATGTAAATATTCCCCTTCCTTTGTAATAGCCACGTAAAATATATCACTCACAAGGGTGCTTTGGGCTGCAAGTAACAGGAAACACAGTGCAAACTAGCTTCCAGTGTATGACATCCACTGGCTCCTGTGACCAGAGTCCAGAGGGAATGAGCACTTCAGGGGTGGTGTAACCTGGCCTCCAGCCCTACTCCCCTGTGACTCCATATTCCACTGTCTGTTGGCTTCCTCACCCTTTCTGTGTCTTCCCAGAACTGCTCCCTTTTAGAACTTTGCCCCTAGTAGACAAAGGTGGAACTGGGACACAGGCACGTTTCCTGGACCCATCCTTGTTGCTAGGAGCTGGCTCAGGTTCTGCACTCACCATTGGCTAGAGAGCAAGGATTGCCACACACCTGGCTGAGGCCAGTCAGGGCCTGCCCCGGCACTGATGCTGTGGTGGGGTATGGAGTGAGATGAGTAGGCTACAGCTTCTTGATTCCTGCTAGATATTTAGGGTGTCTCCAGTTTTAACTCTTATACTTCAAGCTGTCATGAGCGTCCTTGTGCATCAGCCCCCAGTCACTAGGCAGACTCTTAAGGGTCATCTGTCCCTACTCTTGTTACTTGGAGCTTCTGTTAGGTACCTGTCATGTGCCAGGCATTGAGCTAAGTGCTTTTAAGAATGTGGGACTTTCTGGGGGAGCCCAAGAAAAAGCATTCTCTTTCCCTGCCTGGCTTCTGAGAAGATTGAGAAATAAAGAGGTGACAGATGGAGACCCCAGATCTGGCCTCTATTGTGAGGGGGTGGAGGGGGGTGGTGTGGGGAAGGTAGCCTTTGGCAACTCAATCATGTGGCAGATGTGGGCCATTGTGTCCTCTATCTCCCACCCCTCAGCCCTCCAGTTCAACTCGAAGCCCACTCTCATGGGAAAAAAGGAATACTTGGTTGTTGATGCCATTATTGTCCTCATTTCAGAAATGCAAAAACTAGCACTCACAGAGGTTAAATAATTTGTTCAAAGTCCTATTGCTGATGAGTGCAGAGCTGGGGCTTGAACCCAGGTACCATGCTGGAGCCTAGTTTGTCTCTAGTGAGCAGAAGCTGGCTCCAGGAGACTTCACTCGTGGTCTTGGTTCTTCCTTCAGACCACACTAAGCAAGTCTCTCTTCCCATTGGCCCCTCAGGGGACTATGAAGACAGTGACCCTGCCCATCAGGTGTTGTCAAGGGGTCTCTGGTTCCTTTCATGGCATATTGGTTATCCAGAATGCTGTCCTGTATAACCCCCTGGTGAGGGTGGGGGTCTCCCTCACTTTAAAATGAGCCTGTGGGCCTTAAGGACCCTGAGGTCACAGCTGCTTTCAGAGTTTCCAGACTGGCTCTGGACAACTCCCACTTTCCCACCACCAAGCCCTGAGTGGATCTTATAGACCCTGGCCTCAGGGTGCTTGTACATAAGAAGAGATTGGGTGGTGGGATTCTCTGCCCTGTTAACACCCCTGCTCAACATGTTTCTGCAGGTATTGCTGAATACACCCCCAGGGATGGAGAAACCATCGAGCTGAGGCTGGCTAGCTGGTAGCCTCTGCAGTCACTCACCCTAACAGCCTTGCCCACTCCCTGGGCTTCCACCTTCTCTCCAGACATCACTGTAACACGTACACACCCAACCCTGCTGCTACCTCATGTGCACTTGGATAGTGTCCTCTGGATCACCCCAGCTACCACTCTTGTGAAGGCCCTAAGCCACCGTCCACCCTGGATCAGGGAACCAAGCACCTTCCCTGGGAGGGCTGTCTGCTCCAGTCTGGCCCAGCCTGGCCACACAGGCATCCCTTGAAGGTATAAAGCATCTCAGACTCCTCAACACAAGGAGAAGTCACTGGCAACTGGTGCTAAGAGGACTGTCCCCTGCAAGGAAACCTCTGTGGCCCAGGGGCTGCAGCCCTGATCCCAGCTCTCAACTCCACCTTCAGGGCAGTGGCCTGGCCATGGCATGGTAGCTGATGGGAGCTCAAAACCTGCCTCTGAAATGATTAAAGTATTTGTGCACCTGCCCCAGTGTCCTGATGCCTCGAGCTGGCCAGTGAGTGCAAGGGACTGGAACACAGAAGGAGAGGTACCTGCAGGGGAGCAGAGGAAGGCGGGTGAGCATTCTCCTGGGTGCTGGGGGGAGTAATGTGGGCAGTAGCAACATTGATCGCTGTTTAGGGAACATGTACTTGCTGGAAACTTTCTTGCACAACTCTGAGGTTGTGGATATTTTTGTCTTCATCTCTGCTTTACAGATAAGGAAGTTGGTACTCAAAGAGGACATGCGACTCACCCACAATGTCAGGCAGGGGACATGCCTTAGGAGACAGACAGACCTGGCCTGGGGTGGCCTCCTGGCCCTTCCCCTCAAACACTGGAAACTGGGGGCTCCCACGGTTGTTACAAATTATATGGCAGAACCCAAAGGCAACCTGAGGCCCAGGACCTCAGAGCTTGGGCTCTGGCTTTTGCTTTGCCCAACACACAGTCAGGGTATCACCCTAGGCCCCAGCAGCCAGGGGCCAGAACCTTACCTGTTAGTGGGAGGGTTCTGAACCCCGGGCTGACCTCTAGGAAGTGGGGTTCAGGCCAAGGAGGCACCCCACATACCCCACCTCACTGAGGTTAGGATGGGGGCCTGCCTCAGAGGGGCTCTCTGATAGACAGTGTGTCAAGTTTTACAGCGCTACAAAGTCATCACACCCACATATTACATATATGCCTCTTCCTAGGGCTCCAGTTTCAAATATTTAGTGTGTGGACCGGGGCAGGAGGGGGGGTGGGGGGAGTTGGCAATTTAAAAATTCTTATATTGAAACAAAAGTCAAAGTACCAGAAAGCCAAATGAAGATATGCAGCCTGCTTTGAAGGTGAAATATATGTGCCCAGAAGCCCAGACTGCTTGTTCCCTTGCCCCTCCTTAATCAGGGGCACTTCTCAGAGGCTTTAGAAGTGCTCTGTGCTCCTTGGTTCTTTTATAATCCTGTCAAAGAAGGGAGGAGACCCAGAGAGGCCCAGGCTTGCCTCAGGTCACATAGCCTGAGGTGGCAGAGCCATTGACCCCAGCCCTCGGGCACTTGCCGCTGTACCACCCCGCCGGCAGTGGCTGGTTTCAGGCCAGGCTGGGGAGAGCCCCCTGCACCAGGCTTTCAAGGGCACATGAACTGGGTGTGATCTTCCCCTTCCAAAGGGATTATTGTAGTTAAAGAGTGTGTTGGGCTCTGAGGAGCGGCAACTGCTGGTCCTGCTCAAATCAAAAGCTATTTGCTGAAAAAAAACCCAGCCCACCACCTCGGCGGCAGCCAAGGGTGGTAGGGAAACAAGTTGGGGCCCAAAGTTCATTCAGCTGCACTAATGCTCCCTACTCTCTGCATTTGCCCCTCAGTCAGCTTCTTCTGAGTGTGGCCCCAGCAGTGACTCCGTCACTTAGGAGTTCAAGTTCCCAGTCCCCTCTCATTTTCTCAGCCCATGTCCCAAAGCCTGGAGAGGGGTCTGCCTAGCCCAGCCCACCTGTGGATTCTGGGCCAGGTGTCTAGTCTGGCACAATTTGCTGGGCCCCTAGGAAGAGGTGTGTGTGAGAGCACAGTCATGTCTGGTGCAGGGCCCCACAGTAAGAGTCTGATAAACAGAGGCCCTCCCTGGGGATTGGGACCAGGTTTGTGTTTAGCCTGCATTTAGATCTGTAGACCTCCAGACAAACCACTTCTCCTCTCTCAGAGCCTGGGTTTACATAGCATGTTCATACCTATGAGCTCATCATGTTGCAGGATTTTTTACCTCAATACCCAGATTCGTTGTTGTCTCGCAGTTTCGAAGAATAAAGAGGTGAACACAAAATGAAGAGCAGGCAAACGTTTATTAGAATATAAGATTAGAAAGGAAGAATAGTAGGAAAGCTCTCTTTACAGAGAGGGAGCATTCAAAAGTGAATGCCCAAGGACTATAGGCAAGGGTCTTTGTTTTATAAGGTTCTGGTCAGGCCACCTCCTTCCCTTCCCCCTTGTTCCTTCCCAGGTTCTACCCTTATTGACTTGATAGTTCTAGATGCTGGGTTGTCCATTCCTAATTGGCTTATGAGGGGTGGTCTATGGCCATACTTAGGTCTTTTGTCAAATTCCAGAGGGGAAACCTGAGGGGGAGTAGTTGGGGTCTGTTACATTCTTAAGAGGAACCTTATGTGTGAGGGAGCTTGCTATGGTCAGACGCTTCCAGCATTGCTCCAAAATAGGTGTTTTTCCCCATCCAGGGACCTCAAGCCCTAATCTTTCCCTCTCTGCCTACTGAATCCTATCTTGTATCATAATCATATCACAGATGGGGAAACTGAGGTCCTAGCGGTAGTTTATCTAGGGACATGCAGTGACCAGAGGTCTGTCCCACAGCCTCTGCAGCACGGTTACTAGAAATGGGTTCTTCTGCCCCTGGTGCCTCCCAGAGTCCCTCCCTGAATTACCTGCTTCCCATAGCAGCCTGGGTCCCCCAAGGGGAGAGCTCAGATCTAAGGGATTTGGGAGTCTGTGGGCAAGGGCAGCCTGCTCTGGGCTTTTGGGTGGACCCCAAAGATATCAGAGGAGCCTCCCCGGCTCCCATTTTTGCACAAGGGAATATCCTATAGAGAGTGTTGCTGCCTATAGTTCAAGGCAGGTTTGAAAACTGGGGCTCTGGACTCAGGCAGATCTAATCTGAATGCCTCCCACTAGCACTCGGGCTGCACAACCCCTGCTTTGGGCTGTGCTGTCAGCCTCTGCCTCGCCTCCCACTGCAGCATTGGCAGCTTTCTCTATCCTACCATGGCCCACTCGGGCCTCATCTTGATTACTCTTCATTACTCATAGCCCATCCCTTACCAGGCGGGGCAGGTAGGAGCTGAGCTGCTTTGTGGCAGTCTTGGAGGAGTTGTAAACACTGTTGACCACTCCCTGTGAGCTCAGCTCTGAGAAGATCAGGGTATTTACTATTTTTAAAATCATCATTATTATTTTTTTTAATTAAAGGAAACTTCCTGGAAAACTGACAGAATCTCAAAAAGAACCCAGGGCACTGATTCCTCTTCTTCAGGAAATATGGAAGGAGGAAGCTTGCCCCCTTGGCCGGCTCAGTTTCTCTCCCACAACCCCTCCTAGAAAAACCCTATCCAAATACTCCATCATTTTAGTCCTTGACCTAGAAATTCCTTGCGGTACAATTTGGGCTATTAAGTGGTTATTTGCAGGCTCCAGCAGGCATTGGAATCACCAGAGGTAAATGTAAAAATGCAGATTCCTGGGCCCACCAGAGACCGTGTGATTCAGCAGGTTTTTGGTGAAGCTGGGGGTGAGCGTCAGGGAAGAACACCGTACTAATCCTTGTCCGGTATTTGTGATGGAGTTGGGGGAGCACTTGCTGTCATTCCGTGGTCTGACCACGGGGGGTCGCCACGTACCGAGTGAAGTGGTTTCCCTTTGAGGTCTTGTTCCTTAGAACAGGCTGCAGTCATCAAGACTTGCTGGTCAGACAACAGCTAAGGGTGAGTGTTCCAGTGGGCAGGAGCTTCCGTAGGAAAGGAAGCCCGACATCAGGAAAGAGGCTCACAGCTGGCAGTGGGCACCTGCCTGCTCCAGGCATTGCACCTTGGTTCTTGGGCACACTGCAGAGCTCAGAGTCTAGGGCCCAGCCTGGAATCCAAAACAGCTTGTCCTGCTCTGGGGTGTGCTGTTTATCCAACCTGAGCTCAGAGAGCATCCGTTGTTCAGATGGGAAAGCAGGGAACCAAACAGGGTGAAGGGCTTAGTGGCAGCTGCTCTGGCTCCCAGCCCACCCAGGGCTCTTTGTCCTGTTAGGGCTGGGGGCAGAGGGTGCAACCCAGAAAGTTCAGCTATGAGTCAGCTATGAGTGCCTAGGTGACGGGACAGGGGCTGTTGGCTAGGGATAGATGCTAGCTGGTACCCCGTTTCTACAAATGTAGGTGGCCTTGGTGATTCAGTTTCCTTGTGCCTGCCTTGAGGGGCAGGGCCCTGGGCTGGGAGAGGGAGGAGGTGCTGGGAGTAGGGAGGGGCTATGGAGGGGCCTAAGGGGCTCGGTGGTCCAACTCATCTGGATGCTGAGGTCCCACAGAATAGCTGTAGCCAGAGATCATGTGGCCCCAAGACTGGTCCTGGGGTGGGGGGTTCCTGGGTGCGGGGGTCCTTGAAGGTGCAGTCTCCTGTGAGGCTGAGGGATTTTATCGAGCACCCTCAGAAAGGCACCCTATTGTCCCTGCTTTGTGTTGGTCTCTACAGGGGGTCTTGCCTTGGTGCTGAGTGTGGAGGGGCCTGAACCCGCACTGGTAGGGGAAAAGGAACAGGCAGCCTGACTACAGAAGGGGGGCTCTGCTGAGAGAAGGACTGCCAGGCGGATGGAGGAGGGGCTGTGAGCTCGCGGTGTGGGGGCGGAGCGAGACTGCCCTCCCGGCTCCGGAGGCGGTGCCTGACCGGGAGCGGGGCTGGGGGCTCCCCCCAACTTTCCGGGTGGGGCCTGGGCGACGGCGGTGGAGGCGGGGTCTAGAGCGCGGGGCCTCGGCCGCAGGGCCGGCTCGGGCTGAAGCCTGGCGGGAGCTGCTGCCGGAGCCGGAACCGCAGCCGCAGCCCGAGCCGCCGGGAGCCGGGTCCGCAGCCGCCAGGAGCTGGAGCCGGAGCCCGGGCTGAAGACAGGCCCTGCCGCAGCCTAGCCGAGCCGAGCTCGTCACCTGGCACCAGCCTGAGCACGGGCCGGTGTGTCAGCCAGCCGCAGGGCCTGGGCGCACTGTCGGAGGGAGCGAGCCGCGACCACCGGGCACCACCGGGAGCCCGTGTCCGGATAGCCCCTGCCAGGCCTGGGCCTGGCGTGAACAGGCATTAGGTCGCGGGGTCTCGACCAAAGAGAAAAATGAACAAGGATTCCATCTAATTGTGGAGTGGGCTTAAAAGCGGGAAGAAGAGTGGAGACTTCACCTGGGACTGGACAGAGAT